GAAAAGAGGTACAACAGAATAACTATTCTAAAATGGAACAAGAACCGCGTGGCTCGATCGCAGAACAACTGGCCAGATCTTCTTTACCCCTAATCCAAAACCTTGAAAAATCTTGGGCTCTCGCTCACTGCCCACCCGATTTATATGTGCTTTGTGGATCTAGAGAAAACCTATAACCGGATCCCGCGCAAGAGTCTTTGAGTTTACGTGCGAATATATATATGAAATCAGTGGCCAGTGACTAAATGCTGATAGCAGGTTCTGCGACAGAGTTGGCACTGTTCTCTTCCAAGGTTGGGTTCCATCTCCCCTCTTGTTTGTGTTGTACATGGATGGAATAGTCAGGAACAGCCAAGATGATTAGTGTATCCGCGTAGGAGATGTTGAGATGAGAAGCTTGCTGCCTGCAGACGACCTTGTTTTTTAGGAGCTTCTGAAACTGATCTCCTGCATTCTCTAGAAAAGTTCGCAACCGAGGGCATGGTCGCTGACATACACGTGAACGTATCTACTAGGAAAAGCCTAGTGCCTTCTTATTCTTCGGCCCGTTGCTCTATTCTCATAAACAGAGAAGCAGTGCAGCAGGTGGATCTCTACCTTGCGGTCGTGTTTACTGATGTTGGAAAACGAAAGGTAGAGATCATTCTGCGTGAAGTAGTCCCAACCGTTACGACTAACGCAGAGCTGATTATGAAGATATCTGACTCTGTTTAAGTTGATCTTCACTTCGATGCTCCCCTTTCAACGGGCATGAGTTATGGGTAATAGCTGAAGAACTTAAATTTAGAGTACGCGAGGATAAGACTGGATGGGTTATGAGTAATGACTGAAAAACTTAGATTTGGTGCACACGCGGATATGACTGGCTTTCACTGACGAATCGCTGCACTGACGAATGACGAATCGATGTGGTCTTAATATGAGATATCCGAAATAGCCTTGGTGCACAACCGCTGCTTTTCGAGACAAAGAACAACACACTACGATGATCTTGGCACTTGCTGCGAATGAGTTCAGACAGGAACGCGGAGCATGTTACTTGCAAAGCCGACATGTCGAAGACCGCGAGAACAGCCGAGAGTGATCTGAGGCAAGTGTCTCAAAGCAATATGATCCAGGGTCAGGTGCGCTGCGCTCTAGCTCAAACGCGGTCACAGGATCATGAAGAATGGAGAGATTATATGACGCATCTGCCTCCGTGACCCAAAAAAAAGGCGGTTCTCGAAACTTACTGATTAAGAAAAAACACTTTATCAATGAAAGAACAAGCTCACATTTTTGCTTGGGTCATCAGCGTTTCCAGCAGGTATTTCCGTGCGTTTGAATGCGACGAGTCCAATTTTAATGCCTCTTCGAAATCCTTGACGGCGAGGGCGAAGCAGTCAGTATTTGCATACCTAGTATATAAAAATATCAACGAGTACAGCAGAAGTATAACGTTACAGTAGTTGAAAGAAACCTAATTAAGAAATGTGAATTGTATCGGCACTTAGATCGGAAACAGCTACTAACTATCAACTCGATATGTCATTCTGATTCATTTTATTGTTCATCAAAGCGTTTATTTCATCGTGGTTATCCTTGAGTGCTTTTACTCAAGCAAAGTTAGTCATTGAGCATACCAACTGACTGCGGATAATGGAATAATGGCCAGACAAGATCAGCTGCTATATTAGTAAGAATTCGGAAGAAAAAGCATTCGAGAATTATGCTTATAGCATTACAGTTACGATGTAGCAATTTCCTATTTACTAACTTTGAAATAAATACATCGTAACCACAATGACACGACGAATACTGAAGTTGTTAAAATGTGGTACTGCCAAGGGCAAACTTTGAACGTTCTCTTTGTTACGTGCATTGACTGAGCTATAATTAGTGATGCAACATGTCTTCATAGAGAGAAGGAAAAGTAAATAAGCCTGTTACTGTTATAATGACGGCCTGGCCTACATCAGCATGCAGGAGGCCAGGTGTGGCAGGTTTTAATCGAGCAAATAGTACGATGCTGATCTCAAATTCGATTTCGTCGAATGCTAAAACAATGCCTAGAGGAATGCGATAAATACTGCATGCAGTCACTTGCTTCGCCTCTAAAAATTGGCACATAAACAAGACTGAATTATGAATATATGAACGGTGTTTCTCTGCAGCTGAATGAAATCAAGGGGTCTATGCCGTTACCATCCACTGTCAAGGAAGATAACATTAAGATTAGCCTTGTTTTCTCATCCAACAAACATGGAACAGCAACACAAGCCCGAATCGTTCCGTCTGAATTTATGAAAAATTTTATCAGCCACTCTAATAACCATCTTATTTACCGCCAAACGAGACAACAAATATTAGATCAGGGGCAAAAAACACTTACAAAGCCCCTCGTGCTACCAAAGCATCGATGTTAGTCGGATCAACTTCCAACGCTTTGTTGAAAAGCTGCAGTGCTTCTGTGGAAAGTCCTTGTCGCAACCGCTCAATGCCTTTTGTTACCCTAAAAAATTCAAAAACAAATTTGATTTCGGAATTCAAAAACAACTCCATTACGCCATGTGATACAGAGAACAAAAATGCAATTAATAAAACAAAAATTTTAAAAATAGAAATATCGCCCTGCCTTATATACAGAACTGAACGCTCATTAGCTTAAAAACTAGCAAAATTGTAATACAGCTGCCAGGAACGATGAAATTTGTGGAAGATCAAGTTTTAGACCTTTTATTAAAAAAATTTAGTGGAAAGGACAAATCACAGATACTAGGACAGAGTCTACGTCATTCGATTTAATGATTAGTCAGCTTGCAAGCAGATGATTCATCGCACAACAGGAAGATGACAGAACTTTAGAAATTATCACTGATTACATAGACAATTTTGTGGCAGCAATCAAGTAAGATGCTAACATGCGATTTAAATCTGGTGCATGCCACGCTAATAATAATCAAGCTATAACGACGATGAATGGGCAAAAGTAATACATATTAATACGAGCTCAGTGGATGATCAAATCAAAACCATGGCAACATCTCAAAGCCTCTTCCAATGTAATAAACTTTCTCATCGCAGTACTATTGCAATGGCAACGAATGGCTAAAAACATTTAAAAAGCAAACGCTTTACCGACTTCCAGACATCATAATGCAAAAAAGGAATGTCAATGAATCATTGGAGCGATGTTCTGTAAAATTATTTGACACAAAGGTTTGAAGTCAGCTGATTTATACGCATAATATCGAAAGTAAACGCTGATGACTTATGGAACATAAACAACCCTATCCAGATGTATCACGCTACAAATGGGCACAAGATCAGAACGTCGATACATATTCGTGCATACAGAAAATTCACCGTTCTGTTTATAATACACCAATTGATTATTCATATGCCGGAGAGTAAAGTTTTCACCAAATTATGCTAAAAGGATTAACTCTGTAAAGCTGTTTCAAGCAGTAAATTGAAAAATTCGTTTTCTAGGAATGAAACATCGTCCAGCAGTATGCCTATGTCAGGTTTATAACAGTTCAGTTATGGATCACTTACATTAAGTAAAAGACAGTAAAAAGATAGTTTAAATATCGAGTAAAAACAACATGCATGGCTACCGATGCTTCAGACAATTTTGAGTTAGCTTTTAATGCATATTCAATACATTCATTCAACGGCACGATCGTTAGTACTTGAAAATGCAATTAACCACTTGACAATCATCGACACGTAGAGTCTACTTTCCAGGTTCTATTTTCCACAAAAAAAAATTATTGATGAAGGCTTATTTTGTACAAGACTGAAGACTGATAAAATGGCCAAAACAAATCTAAGCGCGATGTAATCCGCAGAATCCCAATCCATGGAAACAGAGACGCCAACATGGATACTTCAATGCTAAGACATGTGCACAGGGATCAAACAGATGGCTCACGAGAAGATGGCCCAATTTAAAAACAAATAGATACCTCTGACTATGGGAGAATCGGAATCGTTTTGAATGAGCCCAATATAAATATATCCACCCTTGTCATTTTATAAATCGAGTAAAAAACCCGCAGCCACCTCTGAAAAAGTTAGGTAGTCACAACACTCAGAAGATATGGGCAGTGCCTGAGCTGATAAGTGAACGGCTATCTTCTTTATCCTGATGTTTGACAGTGAAGTCAGAATCTGCGTTGCTCAATGCACTGATTTATTCGTTGATAACCTTCGGCGTCCTTAACCAGACATAAAGTCATGTGTCATTACATTCCATAGCAAACTTTATTGCCTCACTAAAGATTCTTGAAACGGAAATATCTCAAAAAAATAAATAAATAGTTGACTGGACTCACCTGCTGTGCTATCTTTAACTCAAAATACACATTAGGAAACTTTCAAGCTGAAGTTGAAAACGGCAGCAGCTGCCATAACTGCTTAATGGTAACTGCTTAAAAACAGTTAGTTTAAAAGAGACTATCTGAATTCTTTAATGTAACTTCTTTCATTACAGTATTCTTTAAACGTGTTAGCCCGCAAATATATAATACACAATTTACAGAACGCTTCGGATAGCATGGGATTAATCTTTGGAGTTCATAATGCAGTTAAAAACAAGCCATTTTTCAAAGAAACCCATTTCTCATAAAGTGTGTGAACCCAGTGTATTCCGAGCACTTGGCAAATTACACAGTGTATACACTTGCGGATTAAACTTTTCGAAGTCTAAGCACACTGCATAAAACATTATAGAAAATACATTTTTTGAAACATTAATGAATACATAATTGAATACAGATTACTATTCGAAAAACGCGACTATTTTCATTAAATTAAGGAGCAATGACATTTACAATTAGCGGAGCAAAAACGTAAACAGTGCGTAATCTGATTTTGAATCAGGACAGGTACCTTCTCAAATGATCAGAAATCCTCAGTAAGAACTTATAGACATACACAGTAAAAATGTTACTTACAAATAAAAAGTTTACTTTACAGTTTTATGTATATCAAGTGAAAAATATAGTCGTCGTGTGGATAAAGCATCGACTAACAAAAATCGAAATATCAATACCTTTCGTTAGCGATTTTACGAGACTGGCAAATCCGTAGGTGTCGCCAAGCGTTTTCTTCACGAAAGTCACATCTATAACAGCATCATCAACAATTATAGCATGTAATTTAGCTATCTCTAGAAAATGACGTAAATAATTTCAGATAAGCAAAAGATAAAGCTACGAAAACGAATATCGATACTAGAAAAAAACTAACCATTCCAATCGTCATAATCATTAACTAACCACTAAAATTACTATTACGAACTAGAATCAAAGCTATCTTATTTTAAAAATTACTTATCTATTTCGCAAATGAAAGTACGACATACAAAAAATGGACATGCGCCATGTCAAAACTTGATTATGATTATAATTCGACTAATTTGTTTTATAAGTTGAATCTAAAATTTTTTGCAACAGTAAATAAAAATTTCAACTTAATCAGATGACTGAATATGCTCTTCGTGCACTGGTGACCATACTGAGAACTGTGTATAAAAAAGGTTATTGATACCCAACGAAAACAAATACCTTCTGACTACAAAAATTACAACAATCGTGGGCCATAGAACGAACTTAAGAAATCAACGCTGTCCACCATGAAGAAGGCCCCTGAGAGACGAGCTGAAACTTCGGTACAGATCAATCATCTGACTGACCAAATTGTTTGCGTTGTGTATGAATTAACGGTGTTGTTCTACAGTTTTAGCTTTATCAGCTGTCAGATACACAAATAAAACAACCCAAAACAGTGAGTAAAATCAATAAACGTTAATTAAAAACGAATCTATATAAAACAGTTTTTAACGCTCCATCTTCAGAGAATTCCCCACCGCGATATGTTGTATGGTCCCTCCATATTTCTAAGATATTCTCAATCAATAGAATTTGAGCAACCACAGTTGTCTTCAGCACAGAAAGGTCCCATTACAATTGCGAACATAGTAGACAATTCTAGAAAAAACTGAAAATTATTCTACAGGAAATTAAATTTCCAATATATGTTTAAATAAGCTGGAGACGACGTATTTAAGGTAATGAAAAGTCATCCTAAATCATTTCCACGCACTTGACCGCATGAAGAATCCGGAATGTGTATAAACCGTAACCTCGCGGAGGATCAGGTGTATGCCGAATATTTAAGATGAACGCTAACTCTGCTACTTCACAGTCTACCGAAAAGTACATCATACAAGAGTATGAATCAATAATGAACCTAATGAACATCA